ATCTGTGCACAAGTATGCAATTTATTTTGTAAATACCATGTGCGGCTGCAGAAGGGTGAAACATTCTGTATGTGACCACCAAGTCCATATGTTTAGAGGGTGGCTCAACTCTGAAATTTCTATACTGGTTTCTTGTTTAGTCGATCTCTTTGCAGAAGTGGGGTGGTAAAATCCCCACTTATGTTTGTGTCAGTGTTTATTTGATCTTTAATTTCAGCAGGTTTTGTTTTATGAAAGTAAGTGCTCCAGTATTTGGTGCATATGTTTATCAATGCTATCACTTCTTGTTGGATCATTCCCTAAACTAGTATGTAGTGACCTTCTTTGCCTCTTCTAATCAGTTTTAGCTTGAAGTTTACCATGTCTGATAAGAGAATTGCTACCCCTCCTTGTTTTGGTGATCTGGTGCATGAAATGTTGTTTTCCATCCTTTAATTTTTAGTCTATCCATATCTTTCTGGATTAGATAAATTTCTTTCTTTTTTTTTTTTGTGCAGGGAATCAAACTCAGGACCTTGTACTTGCCAGGCAGGCACTGTAACCACTGAGCTATATCCCTTGGCCGTTTTTTTTTTTTTTTTTTTTGAGACAGGGTCTCACTATGTAGTTCATGGTGGTGTTGAACTCACTTTGTAGCCCAGGTTGGCCTAGAACTCACAAAGATCCTCCTGCCTCAGCGTCCCGAGTGCTGGGAAAAAATAAAAGAAAAAGAAAAACAAACTAATGTTTCATGGATTCCTTAGGATTTTCTACATACAAATTTTCCATCAGAAAACATACTTTTGATTAAAACTAGTTTTGGTTTTTGCCTTCCACTTAAAATGTTCCTACCCACACATTCCTCTGCGTAATTGCTACAGCCGAGATACCCGGTCCCAGGTGGAGACCTGGCCGGAGTGGACTCTCCTCCTATTCTCATCGCAGGCGGAAGTGCGGTCTCTTACCACCCAGAACGTCTGCTGTAGGGGCTTTACCATGCTCGGGAGTTTCCTTCTGTCTCTAATATGCTGAGTTGTAAGCAAAGCACAAGGAGCTCATCAGGTGTTTTCTGAATGAAGTGAGATGACGATGCCCTCCTTACCTGAGTACACTGACCTAGGTGTGTCAAGACAATCTGACGCTCGTGGGATAACTCCCACTTGGCCATGATCCTAACCCTCTCAATATACTGCTAGATTTGATGAGGCCTAGGATCAGTTGATAAATTTTGCATCTATGTTCACCAGGGCTATTGTTTATGATTTTTATTCTGTGGTTTTACAGTTCCACGGCCTGAATCCGGGGCCTTCGCACTGAGCCGCTTTATCAGCCCCTTATTACCATGAGACAGCACCTTGCTAAGGCACTAACTTGCCTGGGTTAGGCTTGACCTCAATCCTCCTGCCTCAGCCTGCTGAGCAGCCGCATTAGAGGTGTGTGCCACCGCCTCTAGCATTCTTTTCTTGTGATGTCTACCTGGTGTGGCGTCTCAGTGACGTTCACTTCATGGCCTGTTCATGTGCCCCTCTTCTTTTTTGGGAGGAGGGTATGAGGATCGGTGTGCAATTGGTTCTTTTTAATGTTTGGTAGAACTTAGCAAAGAAAGCCATCTACCCCGGGCTGCTCTTGGAGGAGAAGTTTGTAATTATTAATGAAGTCTTTGTACTTGTTTCAATCTTTTTTTTTTTTTTCCGTTTTTGGTTAGTGAGGGTAGTTTATTTCTAGAAACAGGAGACCAGTGAAGGAAACTTGGAGGAAAAAAAAAAACCACACTCCCAGGCCAGGAGGGAAATGAAGCCTCCTCTGGGAGCCTGCCACATCTCCCCACCCCCCATCCTTCTCGCTGGGGTCCTGTCCCGTCGCGCCCCACTGCCGCCTGCAGGCAACCCAGGCAGGGGTGCGGCAGCCTCACTCCCATCCTCACACACATTGCTCAGGTCCCAGCAGCTCCACCCCGAGCCTCCTCCACCTCCTCCACACTCAGTCCTCTGCGCCAGGCTCAGAAGGGCCCTCCGGACCGCCATCTGTGCCACCTCAGCGGCTGCTGCCCGCTCCAGGCCCTCCTCTCCCCACCTGCAGAGCCCTCTTCGGACAGCTCTCTGGTTCCACCCTCCTCTGTCAGCCCCCTTCGCGCAGCTCCACCTTTCAGAACCGAGAACCCAGTCCTCTCGCTGACATTCAAGGTGGCAGTCAGATCTGAGCTGCACGCAAGAGCTGCAGGACAGCTCTCCTCCCTGAAAGCAAACACGACAGTACTGACCCGCAGCCACACGCGGACACAGGGCCCACCCAGGCACCTCTCTCCTGCTGGTGTCCGCACCGAGGGCCCCTTTCCCAGCTCCCTCCCTGAAATCCGCTTCCCTGCCCCCGTCCCCTCAACTGTAAACGTCTTGGTGCCCTAGTATCGAGGGAAGGCACACAAACCACTCAGAACGCAGATGAGCACCCCGTGCTCCGCGCCGCCCCACACGGCCCCGCGGGGTTGGAGTTTCCTAAAGCAGACCTGCGCTTCCTCTTGCCTCCTAGAATCCACGCTGCATCGGGATGCTCCAGGCCCTTCATGGTGCATAGCGACCCTCTGAGACCCGGTCTGCAGCTCCCGGAGCAGCTCAGGCTTCCCAGCCATGCAGGACCTCCCCTGCCCGCCCCCTTCCCCCGTCTCCATCCCCGGGACGGCTGATCCCACGATCCCGCACCGTGTCCCTGCATCTACTTTCACCACTGACGCACCTACCACCCCGCAAAACTGGAACTGAACTGCTGACCGAATAGACTGCTGTGGCGTCCACCTTTTCCATCCTCAGCTCCAGTCCAGGAAGCATGTTCTCCTCACCCGGCCTGAAAGGCAAACTCTGGAAGGAGGGTGCCTGGGGCTCAGCAGACGGTGTGTACCCCATGTGCTGAGGGTGTGCTCGGAGCGGAGCCACCCGCCGGGAACCCAGCCAGAGGAGGACCGTCAGCTCAGGAGCCTCTCCAACACCTCCCAGGAAGACCTAGAAGTACTGTAGGTCTTTCTGGCTTTTCTTTTTCCTTTTTTTTTTTTTGAGACAGGGTTTTGCCATGTACCAGGCTGGCCTCACTCTCCCAGCGATCCTGCCGCCTCAGCCTGAGATTACAGGCGTGTGCCACCTCACGAGGCTTTCTGGCTTTTCAGTCACATGAAAACAGACATGGTGTGTTTGCCTAGAACTGCTGCCTCTGAAATCGTGTGAGATGGGAGACAACCCCCCCCCCAGGTATCACACTAGAATTTCCCGCCGCCCTGGGGGAGGCTGGAGGCTCACACCCATCTTCTGCAGAGGCAAAACCCGGCCCACACAGGTCAGACTGCCCCAAAGACCCCCAGCACCCTCCCATTCCCTCTGCCACCTGAAACTCCTCTGCCCCTGCTCAGCCCTGCGGCTGAGGTCCTGGGAACCCGGGAGGAGGACGGCCGCACTGGGTGAGGAACCAGCCTGGCAGGCCGAGGACCTGAAGGGGTCAGGGGGAAATGGTTCTGCACTTCCGGGGCCTATCAGACCTCTGCCTCTGGATTTGTGAGCTCTCAGGGACCCTGGAAAATGTAAATCCCTTGTTCCACAACCCAGACGCTGCTGTGGTGAGACACGGCCTGAGGATAGACAGCTGGCCGGCCTGGGGAGTCCACTCTGGCCCTGCTGGGCTCCCCACACCCTCCCTGTTCACACATTAAGCCCAGCTGGCCCTCCTACATCTGAGGGCTGTCACCGAGGCACCTGGCACTGCCAGTCCCACCTGCTCCTTGAGCCGAGCAGGAAGGGTGACAGCCCGTGACCGCACCAAGGGGCCCAAATGGAGGGGACTGTGGGGACAGCAGAGGCCCAGAAAGGGAGCCCTAGTTCAGCTCGGCCCTGGGCTTCGTTCCTGCTCTGCCCTGGCCTGGGGCGTGAGACCAAGCGTGCCTTAAGAGGTGCTGATGGGCTCCCAGACAAGGAACTCTACAGGTAGTCTTGGGGCCCTTGGGCAGCTCATGCCCACTTCCTGTCTGAGTCCTGACCCCGTAAGCCCTCCCCCTCCCCCCCACTGCCCCTAGCACCCGTAGACTTTACACAATGAGTACTCTGCTCTGCACAGGGCACCAACCAGAGCCCAGCGCTGCTCCAGAGCACGCAGGGTCCCGAAGAGGCTCAGGAGTGTGTCCGCACGCAGAGGGAACCAACAGGGAGACACTGAGCGGACCAAGAACTCTGGGACTTTTGGGAGGTAACTGCTTCCAGGACACTGCCAAAAACGGTTACCACAGTGCCCGCTGTGACCCACTACCACCAGATAGCAAAAGCGGTCACACTGCGGGGGCGGGCCTCGTGGGAGATCCGTACAGGCCTCACAGCCAATGCCGGGGGCCCAGAGCCTGCTCTGCACTGAAGCTGGGAGCCAGCTGACCTAAGACCCCAAGCAGGGAAGGAACGACAACATGCGAAGTGGCTGCCACTGCTGAGGGAGTTGCTCAACTTGAAAGGTTTCTCCTTTGCACAGATGAAAACTCTTCCCTCTCCTCCTGCCTGCCCCAGCCTCTCAATAAAATAGAGTAATGGGAAGCTGCCCTCCCCCTCTAGGTCCGAACGCAGGGATCCTCACACGTCCCTGCCAGAGTCACACACATTCCCCACTCGGCTGAACCGCTGCAGACAAAACTGGGAGCTTGCCACACCAAGCACAGCAGCCCTGCGACAGCCCGTGGTTCCAGCAAGCGCTCCACCTACCGCGACTCCTCCCAGCTGGGGTCTCAGCTCCTAGAGCCGGATCGGCACTTGCTACTCTCCCTGCCGGGAAAGGGCTCCCGCCCAACCCCCCCGAACAGCTGGCAGCGCTGGGACTGCTGGCCCTGCGCGCCGGCCACGCCGGCAACACCTCTGGACAGTGCTCACAGGACCCTGAGCCGGCAGGGCCGGACAGGTGTCTTCCGCCCACCTGGCTGCACCCATGGCAGAGCCCCGAGGTGGCCCGGAGCCCACTCAAGGCTGTGCTGCGCGGGCACGCCGCCAAATGGAACGAACACCAACTGCAGACTGTTTGTCTTGGTTTATTCTGTGACTGGGAAACTGAACAATCCTCAGCCAGGAACTGAGGGTGGGCTTAATCCTCCTCCTCGTCGTCCCCGGCCCCAGCCCCACCCTGGCCCTTCTTGGCGTTCTTCCTCTTCACGCGGCCCGGGCGGCCGCCGCCGTACGGGGAGCGCAGGGAGAAGTCGATGTGCTTCTGCGAGTCCAGGCGCACAATGAAGGACGGGATGTTCACCACCTGCTTGCGGACCCTGCAGGGGACAGCAGGTGAGGGGGCTGGGGGCCACGCCCCAGCTTCTTCAACTTGTTATGTGACTACACTGTCCGGGCTGAGATCGAACTCTCGCCTCAGGTTCCCGGCGTGCTGGGAGAACAGGCCTGTGCCTGCTGGGCCCTGCAGTCCTCGCCATTCAGCCTCAGATGAATTCACCAACTTCACACAAGTCCAAGAACACAGTAACACCCACCACGGTCTGATGTCACAGGAGCCCAGCAGATAGCTGAGTCCACCCACTCGGCCCTCACCCTCCAGAGGCACCAACAGCTGTTACCTGTCCTGCTGCCTGCACGCCTGCAGACACCTTCGCAAGGTGTACGGCCTGAGCCGCAGTGACCCTTGCGCTGGGCTATGGGGGGGCCAAAGCTGCCCCTGCTCCCCCACAAGCTTTCTGCAGGGTGCAACTGTCCCTCAAGGTGAGCTCACACCCTCATCAGCTCCAAGGGCTGCACGGGAGACAGGGAGTCAGTGAAGGCCACCACAGGGGACTGGGGACAGTCTGGGACCCGCTGCACGGTACCTGATGTGGCGCTGGCGGATGAGCACACGGGCATGGTGGATGGACTTGGCCAGGCCCAGCTTGAAGACCTGGGTCTGCAGGCGCCTCTCCAGGAAGTCCTCAATTTTTAGGCCCAGGATGTAATCCAGCTTCATCTTGCCCTCATCCAACACACCAATGCGGACCAGCCGCCGCAGGAGGGCGTTGCCTGGGAAGAGAAGGAACACCCAGTCAGGGCTCTGGCCTCAGCTCCTTGCAATCAAGCGGTGGGACACAGGAACTAAGAGTTAACTGATACAGGACTCCGAAGTTCCGACCCAGCCTGGGCGTTTATCCAGACCCTGTGCCAGAAGAAAAACTAAAAAATCCCTAGAGATGTAGCTCAGTGCAAAGGCCCAGTGTTCATTCTCCAGTAAAGAAACAAATACCATGGGCATCTTCCTCCAGCACCACGGCTTGAAATGCTTCCTCAACGACAACTACATGATTTCTCCTGCTCAAGCCTTTACTAAATGTCACTTAAATGTTCTTGACCACTTATTAAACCAAGCATGCAAAGGTAAGCGCACCCAGGGTCCCTGCCCTGTTGTCACTGGACATTCCAGGAACGCCACTATTTCCACTAACAGCAAGGGACTTGGACTGTGTCGCTACGCAATACACAGCCTTCCTGAGGTATCCAAGCGTGACTAGCTAGCATCACCATCTCTAGACATGAGTAACGGGAAAATGGGATGAATCAATCAATCCTTGTCTAGCTAAAATAAAGACAAGGTCTTTAATCCATATACTTTTGTCTCCATTACATCGCTAAATGAAACGGCGAGAGTGTTGCTCAGTGTCAGAGCAAGGCCCTGGGCCTTTCAACCCCAGGAACGAGACCCACGAAGTTAGAGACAGGTGGCTCGCGCCTGTAATCCCAGCACTGGGGAAGCTGAGGCAGGTGGATCGTTGCGAGTTCGAGACCAGCCTGGGCTACAAAGTGCGCTCAAGGCCAGCCTGAACTGCATAGCAAGATCCTGTCTCAAAACGACAAAAGAAAAAAAAAGAAAGGGCTGTCCCAACGTCCTTGGTGTACCGCGCTCGCCAAGCAGGCGGCCTCGGTTCAACCCCCAGGACGGAGAACAAATCCAAGCTGCAAGCCGGTTCCCCTTGTTCAGTAAGTTTTGCAGCAGCAGAATAACGACCCCCAGCCCCAGGGCCTGCACCGGCGCCTGCGGCGGGCTCACGCACTCACCTTCGAACAGACGCCGCGGGTCCTTCTCGTCCAGCGTCAGCAGCTCCCGGGCGGCCTTGCGGATCTTGGCCAGAGTGAACTTGACCCTCCAGACCTCTCGCTTGTTGCGCAGCCCATACTCGCCTGCACGGTGGGGGAAGGCAGGCTCGGGACCCGGGACTGGCCGCGACGCCGAGCCGGCTTTCCAACACACAGGCGGCTTCCGAGCAGCAACTCCCCGCAGGGGCGGGGCCGCCCCGCGCCCGGGCCACGTGCTCACGCCCCCCGACCCCGGGAGACAGGCCGGGAGACAGGCCGGGCCGCACTCACCGATCAGCTTCAATTCCTGGTCAAGGCGGGACTTCTCGAAGGGCCTCCGCGGGGTTACGTAGGTTTTCCGGCACACCCAGCTCCTCGCCACCGGCATGCTGGCTCAGCTAGCCCGGCTGCGCCTGCGCACGAGTCAGTCAGTGCGCGGCCTCCCAAGCAGCGCGGCGCGCACACCGCGCCACGACCTCGCGGCGTTCAGTCGTCTCGCGAGAATAGCCCGGAGATTTTGAGATTTGTTTTTTTTTCCCACAGTCACCCCCACAGTCGCGCCTTACTCTGTCCCATGGTCCCCGTCTCTTTCCTGACTGCTTTTGCTTACTTGTGGGAGTTTCTATGTATGGCCCGTGCAATCAGACACCCGCAAACCCAGGATAAAGTGCCCACTAGCTCACCTTCGAACCGGCGCTGACAAGTGAGAAAGAGAGCCGCGCGCCTCTTGGTCGCGCTCTTATACCAGCGCCGCCGCCTCGTGATGTCATCACGCAAGGTGCACTTCCGCACCAATCGGAAGAGGCGCTGACGGACGGAAGGGCAGTCGAGACGAGAGGGTGGGCGAGAGCGGCGTGCGGCTGCTGGGTCGGGCGGGCCTCGTGCCGAGCCGCGTCCGTGCCCGGGCGCTTTGGGTTCGCAGAGGGCCCGAGCGGCGGCAGGACCTGGCGCTCCTCCGCGGGACGGTGGTCCTTAGCAAGTCGGGCACTACGCTAGGGCTGCAGTCCCGCCGCCAGCCCTGCCCTGAGTCGCAGGTGGACGGGTTGTGCGCGTCCCCTCGACCTCAGCCTCCTCGCCGGCCAGGGCGCGGGGCCCCGGCTGCCTCCCGAGCCCCGAGATGCCCCGGCCGAGGTGCCCGCGGCTGCTGTGTGCTCGGCGGCCAGCCCCCGTGCGGGGTGTGTGCGGGGCCGGGGGCACGGCGCCCGTCCAGCCGCGTTACTGCACCGTCGCCTTGCAGTGCGTGGACGGCGGAGACCGCAGCGGAACCCGCCCCGCTGGCACCGAGAACGGTGGCCGCCTTCCCCGACGCGCGCTCCCCCGCGCCACGGGGCTGTGAGCAGCACGAGCGTTTGCTGTCGTCCGCGAGGGCATTTACCACTGAGCAAGGATGAAACAGCCAGGCGCAGAGAGGGAGACTGAGGCCGGGCGTTAACCAAGATCCTTGCACTGTGCGGTGCTGTCAGGAAAACCAGCTTCTCGAGATGAGGGGAGGTGGACGCTCAGTGAAGGCGCAGTGGTTGCTTTTAGTTTAATTATGTCTCTTACCAAAAATAGCCGTTTCTATCCTGAGGTTTCTTTTGGGTTCCCAAAACGGGGAAGATGTTCCAAATTCTACCGCGCTGCATCCCGCTCCAGTCCGATACCATTTATCTCTTGGGCGAACTCACACAGCCTTAAATGTCAACCTCCTTGGAAGAGCCCATAGCCGGGCGTGGTGGCGCACGCCTGTGATCCCAGCACTCGGCAAACTGAGGCCGGTGGATCCCTGCAAATTCAAGGCCAGCCTGAACCGCACAGCGAGACCCTATAGATAAATAAATACATACATACATTTAAAAATCCGGCGATTATAGCTCAGTGCACAAGCGCCTGCCGGGCAAGTGAAAGGTCCTGAGTTCGATTCCCTTTACAAAAATAAATAAATAAATAAATAAATAAATAAATAAATAAATAAATAGGGGCTGGGGATTTAGCTCAGCGGCACAGCACCTGCGTGGCAAGCGCAAGGTCGTGAGTTCGATTCCCGGTACCGGAAAAACAACAATAAATAAATAAATAAAAAGAGCCCTAGTAGCTGGGCCTGGTGGCACACACCTATAATCCCAGCACTCGGGAGGCTGAGGCAAGTGATCTCGAGTTCAAGGCCAGCCTGCACTACACAGTAAATTCATAGCTAGCTTGTACTATACAGCAAGACCCTGTCTTTTTTTTTTTTGTCTTTTTGAGACAGGGTCTCACTATGCAGTTCAAACTGGTCTTGAGCTCACTTTGTAGCCCAGGCTGGTCTCGAACTCGGAACGATACTCCTGCCTCGGCCTCCCAAGTGCTGGGATTACAGGCCTGTGCCACCATGCCCAGCTTCAAGACCCTGTCTTCAAAAAAAAAAAGTGTTATCAGTCCTGTTTTACCAGAGTACCTGCTAAGGCACCAACAGGTTAAGAACATTTCTCAAGATTACAGGACATGGAAATAAAAAGCTAAACAAATGAAAACAAGGTCATGCTACACATTCAGAGACAGGAGTCACCCACTGTCACTTGCATTTTGCAGCCTCAAAGCCGGGCAGAGGAGTAAGGTTTTTGGTGAAAAAAGGAGAGGCTCCAGGGGTGCCCCGACATGAGGCTGTCGGCCCGGGAAAGCTATCCACAGGCTGATTGAAGACAACGCTGAACTTTCCTTAGTTGAAGTTAGAATCAGGCACAAAAATTAGGGAGACAGCCTGGTGATGTACACCTGTGTCCCCAGTATTGTGGGAGGCTGAGCCAGGAGGCCTGCAAGTTCAGGCCCACCTTGAACAACTCAGCAACCTGGCAAGACAAAAGAAATAAACCAATAAAATAAAGGGGAGGGCATGGAGCTCAGTGAGAAGGCCCTGGGTTCAATCCCAGTATTAAAAAGGAAAAAAAAAAGCTGGGGATATAGCTCAGCGGCACAGTGCCTGCCTGGCAAGAGCCAGGTTGTGAGTTCAATTCCTGGTACCAGAAAAAGAAAAGAAAAAGAATTGGGGGAATCTATCAGTTATGAATCTCTCCCCAGCCCTTTTCACAGGGGCTGCCTGGCTTCCTGGATTTCTCCAAGAGATGGCAGTCTGACTTCCTACAAGCCCAAGGACTCACACAGCTGCTGCCTGAGCTGTTTCTCAGAGATAAGAGGTTGGCTTTTTGCCAGAGTGCTGCAGTATGTGGGTCGAAGTTCTTTTTCACAAGGGGTGATCAAAATACACGATGAACACAGGGGCATGGTGGTGCACACCTATCATCCCAGCACTCAGGAGGCTGAGGCAGGAGGACTGCCGTGAGTGTGAGGCCAGCCTCGGCTACATAGTGAGACCCTGTCTCCAAAATAAGACAAAAAAGTGCACAGTAATGTTTATGTTTTAAAAGTTTATTAGAGTAAAAGACACATCTCCATTAATCCTCCTCCTCAACATTTTCTGAAGCACTTTTGGAAGTTTTCTTTATGTTTTTATGAGGTGTGATTTAAAAAAAAACTTCAGAATGACTAGGCTGGGGTGGTGGTGCGAGCCTGTAATCCCAGCACTCGGGAGGCCAAGGCAGAGGGATCACTGCAAGTCTGAGCCCAACATGGGTACAAAGTGAGTTCAAGGCCAGCCTGAACTGCACAGGGAAACCGTGACTCAAAAAGACCAAAACAACAAAACAAAACAAAAAAATCCACCACACAGTGACTGCTGCTATTGAGCACCATCAACCAGGTGACAGGCTTGTCCAAACCTGACAGTGTGTCCTCATCCACCCCACTCAACTGATCTCAGTGTGCAACTTCTGGCTTCTCCCCAAACCCAAAATAACCAGGACAGGTAAATGTTTTGAATGGATTGAAGACATTAAAGCAGCCCCAACAGTGCAACTAAGCACACAAAAGAGGTCTCCCAGAAGTGCTTCAGAAAAGTGGCAAGATGGGCTAGGTGTGGAGGTGCACCCCTGTAATCCCAGCATTCAAGAGGCTGAGGCAGGAAGACCGCTGTGAGTTTGAGGCCAGGCTGAGGCAGGAAGATTGCCAAGTTTGAGGCCAGGCTGAGCTACATAGTTCAAGGACAGCCTGAACTACATAGCAAGACCCTGTCTCAAAAAACCAAAAAAAAAAAAGTGGCATAAATGACCTGTGTTCAAACCAAGCAGGAGTATTTTGAAGGAGGTTAATGGCAATGTGTCCTTTTTGTTGTTGTTGCTTTTAGTTGTTTTGTTTTTGAAATAAGGTCTTGCCATTATAGATCAGCATGGCCTTGAACTCACTTTGCTGCCCAGCCTGGCCTCAAACTCACAGTGATCCTCCTGCCTCAGCCTCCCGAGCGCTGGGATTACAGGCACGTGCTACCATACCGAGCTTTAATTCCTCTTCACTTTTACCAATATGATCGCTGCAAATTGGTGATTTATACTTGTGTTTGTTGGCTTTTTTCTGAGACAGGGTCTTACTCTGTAATCCATGGTGGCTGGAACCCAGGGCAATCCTCATGCCTCAGTGCCCCCACACACCCCAGGGCTGGGACTGCAGGCCTGCGCCACCAGGCCCGGCTACATTTGTGTCTGTATACTCCGAAGGTAAGGTTCTGTCCTGGTCTGTCAGCTGGCTTTGTATTTGCCTTTCTGTGAACTGATTCTGCATACATTTTGCCCGTGTGGGGAGCAGGACAATGGAAACAAGAGATCTTTATTTTTTGTGGATGTCTCCAATGTTTCACCTTCGTTCTCTCCCACATGCTGATACCATTCATCAGGAAGGGAAATAGGAGAGAAAAATCTCTTCTGTAATTTTTTAAGCCCTTCAGGGTAAATGCAGGGCTCTGCAGATTCCAAGCACTTCTTTTTCTTTTTTTTCTTTTTTGAAGACAGGGTCTCACTATGCAGTTCAGGCTGGCCTTGAGCTCACTTTGTAGCCCAGGCTGGTCCTGAACTCTCAGTGACCCTCTTGTCTTGGTCTCTCCCAAGTGCTGGGATTACAGGCATGGCGTTTTTGGAGACAGGGTCTGGCTATGTAGCCCAGGCTGACTTCAGATTTGTAATCCTTGTGCCTCGCTTCCCAGGTGCCTACCTGCGATCAGAGATTTTGGTTCTGGTGGTTTTATATTAGTAGTAGAATCTATGGCTTCTAAAGTTAAAGGTTAAAAAAAAAAATTTAAAAAATTAAAAAAACAAAGAACACCAGCTCTTGGTCGTGGGCAAAATTAGCCTCTTTACATGTGTTCAACAGGGGACAGGAACAACAGCTGCTCATTGGATTTGATGATTCAAAGTTAAGAATCCCAGCGCATGGCAGATACGGTATCTGCGGTGATGAGTACTGGGTGCTCAGGCCCGGAGCTCCTCCTTCCAGTGAAGCCAGGCCCCGCCCCTCGCAGCAGTGCACGGGGATGTGGTGGCTACCACAGCCCAGCCAGGCACCCAGGGGCCAGTTGAGGTCACATGACTTTGCTTCCACACGACTGTAAAAATATTAATTATTACCCAGGTGTGGTAGCATGTGCTCTAGTCCCAGCTACTCAGGAGATGGAGGCAGGAAGATTACTTAAATCCAGAAGTTTGACACCAAGGTAGTGTGGCCCCACCTCAAAAAAAAAAAAAAAATTAACTATGAGCCCTCCCCGTATTGCTAAATGCTAACTGCTGAAAAGGCCAGGCATGCCTGTAATCCCAGCACTCAAGAGGCTGAGGCAGGAGGATCCTTGCGAGTTTGAGACCAGCCTGGGCTACAAAGTGAGCTCAAGGCCAGCCTGAACTGCATAGCGAGACCCTGTCTCAGAAAAACAAAACAAAACAAAAGATCCAGGAAAGCTGCAGAAGTATGTACAGAATGTGTACAGTATGCTACAGAAACCACCTCAAATTTGGGTAAGAAAAGGATCATAAACGTAGGTATGATTTCAAATACGAAGATGGTATGGAAAAAAATTTAAAGTTCCAAATTTTTTCACTCAGCCTTGATCAAAAAATTACAGTTTAAACCACTGATTCATTCAGCAATGTACTGAGAGCTACGTGCCAGGAACGCTTCTTGGAACTGGGACCCTACACGAAACGGGGGACCGAAAGGAACCCGTGAACAGCTGTGCTTTCGCTGCGAAGAACCCACGAGCCATCGCCTGTTGGGGGGGAAACAGTCACGTGCACAGGAGCATGGCGGCCACGGAACCGCGCCACGAGGGCTGCGCATGCGCGGTGGAGGGCGCCCGCGCAAATAGCACCCAGGCACGGACCCAGCCTGGGACTCCCGCCGGGCGGACGCTGCTCCAGAGTTCCGTGACTGCCTGGGGCTGGGAATCAGGAGTGGTAGGAAACAGGCAAGAGGGATCTTTCAGGCACGACAGAAACCACCTCAAATTTGGCTACAGTGACAACTGCATAACTGGAATCTACACGTCAGTGAACTGTGCACTTAAAACTAGTGAATTTTATCATGCATGCTATATGGAAATAAAACTACTTTGAAAAGCGGTTTGCCTGTCCCCATGAAGCTTACATTCTAGCTAAGCAATAAAATGAGTATGAAAGATGAGCCGGGCACACCTTAGAGGCTGAGGCAGGAGGACTGCAAATTGTAGGCCAACTTGGGCTACATGGTGAGAATTTGTCACAAAAAAAATTCCTCCTCCCAAAAAAAAGATGTAGAGCAGGTTAGTGATAATAGACAAATCAAGGTGACATGTGGGAAGAGTGCTCAATTTTTTTTGATACCAGGAACTGAACTCATGACCTTGCCAGGGATATAGCTCAGTGGCACAAGTGCCTGCCTAGCAAGTGCAAGGTCCTGAGTTCAATTCCCAGTACCCCTCCCAAAAAAGATGAATTCACGTCCTCATGCTTGCCAGGCAGGCGCTGTGCCACTGAAGTATATCCCCGGCCTGAGAGTGTTAAATTTCAACTGGGGTCACCATGGAAGGTCTCGCTGAGCAGCCAGCAGCAAGGGACAAGTCCCTGTGGCTGCCCAGGGTGCAGTGCTGTGCGAGAGTCAGAGGAAGACAAGGAGATGAGTGTGGGAGAGCTGAGCACGAGAGGACGGAGGTAATGAGGAGCCTGCAGCACAGGCCTTGGCTGCCGCCGCCCCGCCCCCACCCCCCCTGCAAGCTGGGGCATCTGGAACAGAGAGTGGCCCTGTCTTATCTTTGTACCTGAGGGTCCTGCTGCTCTTGGAAACAGCCTGCAGCAAAGGCAGAGGATTAGGAAGCCCCGAGATAATCCCAGTGAGGCAGGTCAATGCCGTGGCCGTGCCAACGCTGCCAGTGGAGGCGGGGGTGGGGTGGGAGCCAAATTCTGGCTCCTCAGCATTTTGGAAGCAGCACCCACAGGATCCGGCGGCCGCTGCGTGTGGGACACCCCTCCCAGTGGTTTCTGTTTGCGTCTGTGGCCCTTTGGGTGGAACCCAGGTCCCCACACGTGCCAGGCAGGCTGCTGCGACTCAGCTGCATCCACAGCCCTTTTCATTTTATTTTTTCAGGCAGGTCTTGCACAGTTGCCCAGGCCGACCTTGAACACCATCTTCTCTCATGAGAAACCATCTAGCGACGCAGACACTAAGCCTTCTAAGCATCTCGTAGAGTGAGGAGGGGCTGGGACCAGTTGCAAGCCACCTACCAAACACTCAGCAGTGCCAGTCTGGCAGGAGTTGGTGTCCCTTATAAACTAATGCATTTGCAGGAATTTGAGACTCTGTGAAGGTTATTTACCGGGAAGTCCAAGGAAGAAGCTGAGGGAAAAAACCTAAATGACCACAGGAAGAGACTTCCAGCCCCAGAATTTTTCCTGTGTAAATGTATTACATCAACAAAATTTGTGAGGCAAAATAAAAGTACGTATGGTTAAGACGGACACAGAAATATTAGAGTGTTAGTAATGCTCCAGCAATTTCTCAGGACAAAGGTAAGTTTTTGCCCTATAAATGTGCATTTGTACTAGGTTGTTTGTTGGATTTGGTTTTTTTATTTTTGGTCTTTTTGAGACAGGGTCTCGCTATGCAGTTCAGGCCGGCCTTGAGCTCACTTTGTAGCCCAGGCTGGTCTCAAACTCGCAAGGATTCTCCTGCGTCAGCCTCCCGAGTGCTGGGATTACAGGGGTTCGCCACCACACCCAGCTGGATTTAGTTTTGTTTGGTTTTTTGCAGTACTGAGGACTGAACCCAGGGCCTTCACACTGAGCTGCATTCCCAGCCCTGTTTCATTTTGTGAGACAAGATCTTGCTAAACTGCCATGCTGCCCAAGCTGGCCTCAAACTTAAGATCATCCTGCCTCAGCCTCCAAGTAGCTAGGATTAGAGGTGTACAGCACTACAGCCAGGTAGCTGACACATTCTGTAGAAATCTTTCCAAATGAAGTTCAGCGCAGTAAGAGGCGAATTGAGGCCTAAGGCCCAGGCCAGCTGCTCACTAGCTGATGACCCTCCCGCTTCTCCCCTGCACTTGTGTATGTAGAAGAAAGTGCCCACGCTCCGGGGTTTTCACAAATGTGACAAGTACTCAACAAGTTTATTGAGACCTGCTGGGACCTGAGCCCTGGAGGAAACAGAGATAAATCAAACTCAGCCCCTACTCTCAAGAAGCCCACGGTTTGGACACGGATGAGCACAGGAGACCAGTAAGTGCCTCAAACAGGAGGAGCCTATGCAGACCGGTGCTCAGGCCCGTGGGGTCAGAACTAACCATAGACAGAGGTAGGAAGGTGCGGCCTCCATGGAGCTGCTCTGCCTGGGACATCCGGGGAGCTCCGGCAGGGCCGGGCTGGCCTCACTGCAGGCTGGCCCATTGCAGGGAGGTGTACACCACCTTACCATCGGGCTGCGGGGAGCACAGCAGCAGCGTCTTTCTCACGCTGGTTCCCAGGCGGCCAGCGGAGATCAGATCCTGGAGCGGGATGGGGTCCTCGGGAGCCCAGCACTGGGCGATGTAGTGGGCGTGGAAACGTAGCGGGTCACCTGTGGGACAGAGAGGCTCACAGTGCCCCATGGCAGAGGACTGCGTCACACACAGGTTCATTTTACAACGTGTCACAGAAGCTCTGAGACATACACCCTTACACCCAGCTATTCCACAGCTAGGAATCGTTTTCTTACTAGTTGCACCCTAGGATACCTATAATGATTACGGTATTTTTTTTGGTTTCGGTTTTTTGAGACAGGATCTTGCTATGTAGTTCAGGCTGTCCTTGAACTCACTATGTAGCCCAGGCTGGCCTCAACCTTGCGGTAATTCTCCTGCCTCAGTCTCCTGAGTGCTGGGATTACAGCTGTGCACCCCACGCTTGACTGATTGCAGTACTTTGTTATCACTCATAATTGCTAACAAATGGAAGCAATGAAACCATGCACTGGCTAAATTCACAATATGTCCATAAAACCGAGCACAACATTTATGTGACTATTAAGCTTAAGAGAACGCCAACATGGAAAATGGTCGACGATACACTGCGGGGAGAAAGAGGGGGATTCAAGATACCACACCATGAGCAGCACAATCTCCCTCACACGCACACCTGGTGGCGCACGCCTGTCATCTCAGCACTCAGAGGGCTCAGGCTTAAGGACCACTTCACCTTTGAGGCTGCCCTGCTCCGCGAAGTGAGTTCGAGGACACCCTGAACTACACAGTGAGACCCCATCTCAAAAAACCAAACAAAGAAGTGAGTAACTGAGGGCCCGGGGATGTAGCTCAGCGGCACAGTGCCTGCCTAGCCAGTGCAAGCTCGAGAATTCAAGTCCCAGTACCAAAGAAAAATTTAAAAATGAAGTGGTAACTGAATGTGCTGTGGTCACGGACACACGCTAAGAGTCACCAACAGTCAAAGCCCCGAGGAACTCAAAAGGATGGTTGAGAAGTGACCCCAACAGGCTAAAAAAGAGGCAGCAAGCCATGGCACCTGAGCAGCAGCGGGCTATCTGTATCACTGAAAGCTCCAAGAGTCGCCCTTACTGGGCTAAAGCTAAGGTAAGAACGGGGGATGCGGCTCCGGGGCGGAACACTCACCTACACCTAAGCAAAGCTATTACCACGGGACAGAGCAGTAAAAATGTGGTCAACAATTTCTTTGCAGAAAGAGCCAGGAGTACGCGTTTCCAGCTCGCGGGCCGTGTTGCAAATGCCCCGCTCAGCCAGAGCGGCGCCACAGCAGCCGCGCACACGGGCACATGGTGTGCACCAGAGATGCGTCAGTCACGAAAGCAGCTGGTGGGCCAGACGGCGCCGGGGCTGTCACTGGTCCCCGGACGGGGTGGGTCTACACAAGTAGAACAGGCATCTGAGTCAGGCACTGCACGCAAGAATAACGAACGGGCAGTGGGTACCTGAAAGGGTTAGGCTCTGTGACACCCCCGCGAGGGAACTGGCACTGCATCCCTCCACAAGGCCCACCCTGGCAGTGGGTCGCTAACGAGATCCCAGCAGGAGCCAGCAGCTCTCTGGATAGATCTGGCAGCGCGGACAGTAGCACCAAGCAGTGGAGGAAGGGAAGTGGGTAGAACTGAGCTTGTAACACTTGCGCAAACGCAGTAGCTGTGTACCGTACTGCACACGTGGACAACTATAGCTAGAAGTTACCAAAACACGCTTGGGGCCAGGGAGATAGCTCAGCAGCACAGGCTAAAAGTTACCAAAACACGCCTGGGGCCAGGGAGGGACACAGCTCGGCAGCACAGCGCCTGCCTGGCAAGAGCTAGGTCCTGAGTTTCATTCCCGGTAGCAACAAAGCAAAACATGCTCAGAAACAAGTAAGAGATCCATGACTTAGCATCACTGTTTTATAGTCTATGTTTTTTTGACCGGTTAATCTGTGTTTAGAATAATTAATAAAGACAATCTGATGCTAGCAAAAAATTTAAAAAAAACTAGATTTGGTTAAGGTTTTTTTCTTTTTTTTTTTTTTGGTACCAGGAATCGAACTCAAGACCAGCTATATCCCCAGCAACCCCCCCCCGAAAAAAACTAAAAATGTGGATGGAGAAAAGAACTGAGAGGCATTACACACATGCACCAACTCCCCACAACAAATGTGGTCACATACTACAAACGTACTGATAAAATCTTTCAAAAATAAATACAACATAGTTTTTGGGGACAGGTACTCTCTGCCTATGTGGTATGCTATTTAACACTTCAGAAACAATACCCCATCGGACCTGTGGTTCCACTTAAAAGTAGATAAGGTCATTAAGCAACTGGAACTTGTTACGTTCCCCCAAAGTGGCTTTGTCCGTCTGGAGGTGGGGTCTCAGGGTGTTGGCCAGGCTGGCCTCAACTCCCGGGCTCAAGCGATCCTGGTCCCTCAGCTTTCTGAGGAGTTAAGACTACGAAACACACATCACTGCACCTGCTGGAGCCACAGTTCTCAAGGATATGTAAGTGATACATATCTGCACAACCACATAAACATGCAATTGAAACAACCACACACACACTAGCACCTGTTGTGTTCCTCTCTTTGTTCAGGTTTTTTCTATGCATACATGGACCTACATCAATCTGATAACTACACTACTGCTGTAACTACTAACTGCTACGTTTAACTCAAACCTACTAATCATTTTAGTTATCAATTTTTTAGTGCTGTTTACAATCTCATACCCGATACTCTTTTTTTTTTTTCTAGACAGGGTCTGGCTATGTAATTCAGGCTGACCTGACCTTGTTGAACTCATCCTGTAGCCCAGGCTGGCCTTGACCTTGAGGAGATCCTCCTGTCTCAGCCTCCCCATTGCTGGGATTACAGGCAGGCGCCACCACGCCTGGCTCCCAATAGTCTACTTTATTTTATACACATATGTAAGCACTTGTAAGTGACTCTTACAGGTCAGTGAACACTGGAAGTAATTAGTAAAAGTTGCTAAGCTGCCTCTCAAATGAGCATGGGAACTCCCACAAGCTTCCTGCCTTTCTACCCCTTTCACATACTGAGAGGAGACAAAAACATAAAACATACGGGGTGTGGTGGGGTATGTAATCAGTAATCACACGTAATCAGGAGGCTGAGGCAGGGGGGGTCACAAGTTTGAAGCCAGCCTGAACAACTTAGGGAGACCCTGACTCAAAATGAAAGCAAAAAAGAGAGGAGGTGGAAAGGTACCTGAGTGAGCCACACTTGGTTATCACATGCAAGACCCTGGGTCCTATCCCCAGGACTTCGAAGGAAAGGGGAGGAGGGGAGGGTTATGAAACACATCCGAAGGGTAAGGGAAATCTCAGGCACCGCAGCTCCCAGCCCCGCTCACCGGGATACACCAGGAAGTCGCCACCGAACTTGCCGGCTGCGCTGAGGAAGAAGCCGCGCTCCCACAGGTCGCGGTAGATGCTGTAGCGCAGCTCGTGGGCGGGCCGGCCGGCGTGGGGCCAGTCTTTGGACTGCACGCGCCAGTCCAGGGGCCTGGCCTTCACAGGGCGAGGCCTGGCGGTGGCCAGCTGCACGAGGAGGGCAGACCTGGGCAAGAGCGCCCCCGCGTCTGACGCTGCTCGAGGAGAGGAGGGCACTGGAGGGGTGCAGAGGGGAATGCGATGAACCCAAGCGCCCGCGTCTTCCAGCGCGGGGAGACCCCGCCCGCGGTCCCCAGGCCCTCCCCTCCCCCACCCACCTGCTTCCTCCGGCTCCCCGGGGGCCTGGCCAGCTCCGGACTCGGCCTGGGCCTCGCTCTCGCTCCCGCCGGCTCCGGAATCCTGCTCCAGCTTCTGCTTCTTGGCAGCCTGGCCCTCTGCGATCTTCTCCAGGAGCTCCTGACGCCGGCTCTCACGGGCCTCGGCCGCCAGCGCGCTTTGCTCCTGGAAGCTCTGCTCTTGCTGGCGTCTGAACGATGCCAGCGCCTGACAGCAAAGCGAATTAGAACCCAGGACCCAGGCTCGCGGGCCCTCAGGAAAGGAGGACCCGCAACTCCGCACACGCTCCCACCCGAGCCGCTCCGGGGCGGGACTCCAGGTTCTCACCTGGCCGTGCAGGCTGGGATCCGGGCGAGGGGCGCTGACCAGGGTCACGGCGCCGATCTCGGCCAGGAGCCGCGCCTCTTCGGGCAGAAGCAGCAGCGGGAGGCCCAGGCGCGAGTTCTGGCGGGGCCCGCGGGGCAGGGCGCCCACCGCGCGGCCCCCCACGCCCAGGCGCTCCCGCAGCGCCTGCACCGCCTCGGCGCCCCACACCAGCGAGCGGCCGTTCGCCACCTCCACCACCAGCATCCTCCTGCGGAGCGGGGGCGCAGCGGTCACCCCAGCACCGCTAGGACGCCCCGAGGCGCCCACAGCCGTGGCTCCCGAGGCCACCTGCGCCAGGCCAGGCCCCGCCCCGAGGCGGTGGGGCCACGCCCACCAGCCTAAGCCCCGCCCTCGCCCCGCCTTCCTGAGGCCCGCCTCGCGGCCCCCTCCACACTCCCCCCTCCTCAGGACGCTCACACTTTCGCCGCTCCTATCACCGAACCTTTGCGGCGGCTGCCGGGCCACGCTCAAGTTAGACTTCCTTATCACGAAACCCCGCCCCCCTCCCGAACGTAAGCGACTCGGCGTTCGGGGCTTCTCGCCCGGCCGCACCGCAGCCCCGCCCCCTTCCGGACGTAAGCGATTCTACCTTCGGGAATTCTCGGCTCCCGTCCGTCCTACAGTCTCTGGCCCCGCCCCACCGCGAACGTCACGGTCCAGGCCCTGCCCCGCGGCGGCCGCTCTCCTCTAGGCCGCCTCACCCCACTCCTGAGCGCTCGGTCCGCGTCCTCGCTTCTCTGAGACCGGGCCACCACCGTGAGACAGAGTCAGCCTGGCGCCTCTAGCAGCAACTCGCACTCCAGTCGGAGACGGCCCCTACACCCGCGCCGCGCCCCGCCCCCTCCGCCCCTCCCACGCCGAGCCCCTGCGTCAGGCTCCTCCCCCGCCGTCTGCGAGCGGGCTGTGCTGGCCGGCCCGAGGCCCCGCCCCCGAAGCCCCGCCCCATGCCGAGCCCCTGCATCAGGCTCCTCCCCCGCCGTTCGCGAGCGGGAAGTGTGGTCCCGCCCAGCCGCGCGCCCCTCGGCAGCTGCCGGGGTTCTGCAACCTGGGGACCTGAGGAAGGTTCATTATCCTGGCCCCGCCCCTGGCCGTCAGTCCTCCCAGTGCCCGCCCTCATCCGCGCGCCTCCGTCCCCATATCCGCCCCTTTCCTGTTGCCCGCGGCCCCGCCTCCCTCCTGAAACCCAGGAAGCTGTTTGCTCCGCCTATCATTACGCCAACGTCACTTACACCCGATTCTTTCCGAAGTAAACCGAAGCCCTGCCCGGGCCTACAGCCGCGCCGTACCTAGAGTCCAGGACTGTCTCCGAAGGAAGCCGAGCTCGTGGCCCCGCCCACATCCGAACCCAGCCTTCTCCGAAGTAAGCCGAACTGTGGCCCCGCCCACACACTGTGGGCTCGGGCTCCCGACTGCGTCCGAAGGAACCCGAAGCGGAGACAGGGCTGACGGAGTCCTCCGGGCCGGAAGCGCCGGCCCCGCCTCTCCAGTCCGAGGCCCCGCCCCCGTCCGCGCTACTCTGCGCCCGGGCTGGGCGGACAGACCGGCTCGGCTCGGCTCGGCGGCTGACGGGTTCGCGCTGCTTCTCTGCGGTGCTGCTGGCCAGGGGCAGACGCGCGGCGCGGGGGAGGCGT